CTTCTTCTTTTCCTAATTGAATGCCCTTTCTTTTTCTTGCCTAATTGCTCTGGCTAGAACTTCCAATACTATATTAAATAGGAGTGGTGTTGCAATGTGGTAGAACTGCTTTTTAAAACATACTATTTTAAACAAAATGTTTTCCTTTTTCTTTTTGAGACAGGGTCCTGAGTGGCTAGGACTACCAGCATGTGCCTACCACATTTGGCTAAAATTTTCTTTTAATAAAACAAAATTTGCTTAATGAGTAAAAGTATTTTGAAAAGTAAAAACAATTTTTTAAAAGATAAATGAAGCATAGGAAATTTGCCCTATCAGATATCAAAATATATATTACAAAACTATCATAATGAAACAGAGTGGCATTTTACAAGAGTAGAAGTAGATCAAAACTATAGAAAAAAAAGCTCAGAAACACAGCCATAGACAGGTGGAAATGTGGTATATAACACAGCATCAGAAATGAATGAGACTAGGAGAGACTGCTCAGTAACTGCTATTAGGACATTTGGCTCTCCCTATCAAAAAAATAAAACTAGTCCCAGCTAGGTGCAAAATGACTAGTTTTTAATCATTTTAAATTTCTGGATGGTATAAAAGTAGATGTTTTCCAGTATTTTCATATTAGTTATCTCTGAAGGTTGTCAGGTTGAGGTTTTGGAGGACACTGACAAAAAGAGTTTCTGAAGAATATAATAGAAACTATTTTGCTTTGCATTTCATTAGGTTTGTGCAAAAGTAATCAAAACTTATTTAGCTTTGCATTTTATTAGGTCTTTTACAAACAAGAAAATTGAGGACTAGCTAAACAGGGACAGAGTGAAAGCAGCTTTCCATAAGATACACTCACCAGTGTGCCATGTCAGTTTACCATTGCCATGGCAATACCCAGGCATTATCACCACTTTCAGTGGCAAGATCTAATGACCCCAAAGTTACCACCCTTTTCATAAATTTCTGCATAAACCACCTCTCAATCTACATGTAATTGAAAGTAGATATACGTATGACTGCAAAACTGGGCTGAGTAGCTACTCTCAGCACCCTGCATATGGGGCAGCCCTGGGAGCAGGAACTGAGCTTTGACACCACAGGACCTGTAGCAGTGATGCTTTGATAAAGGTGTTTTTTTTCCACCTTACCTGGCTTGCCCTTGAATTCTTTCCTGAGTGAAGCCAGGAACCCTCGCCAGCTAAGCCCAACTTTGGGGTTTGCCTGCACTGCATCAGCATCAGTTGTTGTTTTTATAACTTATGAAATGGTTTTTGTGATTCTGTCATGTATTATGCAGCCATGAACTGACATTTTTTCCCTCAATTGGCAGTTGCAGTTTCCTCAAAAATCATTATAAATAGTCCTTAATTAACAAAGTTTGGTAGTCACGGCCTACTCTTCCAGAAACAACCTGAGTCACCAACAAGTGGCTCCTCAGGTGGTTTTACTTCCCATATTTCCCATACGAGGTACTATGCCTCAGTGATTCCTGGCAAAGCTTGTATTCTCTATTAGTATTGTGCTAACTTTGGAGTAAGTTTCTTTGCGGGCCTAAAAATTTTAGTCAATGGTACTACTGATTACCTTTTTTTTAAGGTTTATGATAAATACTTGGTTTATGATTAATATCTTTTTCTACTTTCTCACATTTCAGGGAAAGAAACAAGAACATACAGAAACACAACATACTTGAACAAGCCATATTTTAGCATCCTGGCTGAGTGTTCATCACTCAGCGAAAGAGAAGAGACATAAACTATTTCCGGCAAGAATACTTCATAAATGATGAATGGAAGAAAAACAGAAGTCCTACAGATCTTGCAGAACTGTCTTAATTTACTAGTATCTTTACACTGTATCCTAAATCGCTCTTTAGATCCTTGCTCTAAGACTATAAAATGTAAGAAATAATGGGACCACCAGTGCCTGCATAAATAACAAGAACCAGCATGTCTTTATTTATGGCAGGGAATACTCTACAACCTGGGACAAATGCCGCTCTGCTTCAGTTTGGGAAAGCTCCTCCTTTTACTACCCTGACGCTGAATAAGTGATTCAATGTCAACTATAGATGCAACCTGAGCTACTGGGTCGGGAAGCTGAAGCAGATTAATCACTTGAACCTGGTCGGCAGAACCTGGGTGGCCGAGGATGCAGTGAGCTGAGATTGTGCCACTGCACTCCAGCTCACTGACAGAGCAAGATCTGCCTCAAGTACTGCAGCTCCCTGTGAGGCGGCAGCGGCTGGGAGTCCAACTCTTGGGCGGCGGGCTGCGAGGGCTGGCATGGCAGCTCTGAGCCAGTGACCTGCATGGTGCTGCAGGCGGCGGGATAGAGGCAGAGGCCGTGTGGCTAGCGTTGGGACAGAGCCAGGCGAGGTGGCCCAGTGGCAGGAGCCCTTCCGCGTGCTCTTTTCCCACCACCATTCAGCACTCCACCTCTTCCTGTTTGGTGGGGTCGATGCTGCCCCAGCTACGTGGGCAAAGATTTTATGATGAAAGTACCAAAAGCAATTGCAACAAAAGCAAAATTTGACAAATGGGATCAAGTTAAACTAAGGAGCTTCTGTACAGCAAAAGAAGCTATCATCAGAGTAAACAGACAACCTACAGAATGGGAGAAAAATTTTGCAATCTATCTATCTATCTGACAAAGGTCTAAAGTCCAGAATCTATAAGGAACTTAAGCAAATTTACAAGTAAAAAGCAACACCATTGAAAGACGGCAAAGGGAATGAACAGACACTTCTAAAAAGAGAGGCCAGGTGCTGTGGTTCATGCCTGTAGTTCCAGCACTTTGGGAGGCCAAGGTAGATGGATCACTTAAGGTCAGGAGTTAAGACCAGCCTTGCCAACATGGTGAAACCCTATCTCTACTGAAAATACAAAAATTAAGCTGAGCATGGTGGCTTATGCCTGTAATTCCCACACTTTGGGAGGCCATGGCAAGCAGATCACGATGTCAGATCGAGACAATCCTGGTCGACATGGTGAAACCCTGCCTTTAATAAAATACAAAAAATTAGCTGGGCATGGTGGCCCACACCTGCAGTCTCAGCTACTTGGGACTGCTGAGGTAGATTAATCACTTAAACCTGGGTGGCCGACGGTGCAGTGAGCCGCGATTGTGCCACTGCACTCCAGCTTGCTGACAGAGCAAGACTCAGTCTCAAAAAAGAAAAAAATTAGCTAGGCATGGTGGCAGATACCTGTAATCCTAGCTACTCAGGAGGCTCAGGCAGAAGGAATACTTGAACCCAGGAGGCAGAAGTTGCAGTGAGCCAATATCTCACCACTGCACTTTGGCCTGGGAAACAGAGCAAGACTCCATCACACACACACACACACACACACACACACACACACACACACACAAATATACATGTAGTTAACAAATACATTTGAAAAAGCTCAACATCACTAATAATTAGAAAAATGCAAATCCAAACCACAATGAGATACCATTTCATACCAGCCAGAATGGCAATGATTAAAAAGTCAAGAAACAATGGATACTGGTAAGGTTCTGAAGAAACAGGAATGCTTTTACACCATTGGTAAGAATGTAAATTAGTTCAGGACTATGAAAGACAGTATGGCAATTCCTCAAAGATTTAGAACCGGAAATACCATTTGACCCAGCAATCCCATTACTGTGTATAATGGTATTTATGCCATTATATAATATATATAATTCTGTTATATATATAATAAATACATAATTATGTATTATATATTACACATTATTAATTACATAAGATATATATATCTTACAGCTGATTAATATATTCTAGCTAACTCATATATTATATATTATTCTAGCTAATGCATATATATGTTATGTTATATATATGCATTAGCTAGAATATATTATTCTATGTTCTATGCTCATATTATGTTCTATGTTCATATTGTGTTGTATATTATATAAGCATTAGCTAGAATATACTAATCAGCTATAATATATATTACATTATATATATTAAACATAATTATATATAATTGTGTTTATATCATTATATATCCAAAGAAATATAAATCATTCTATTACAAAAATGCATGCACGTGTATGTTCACTGCAGCACTGTTCACAAAAGCAAAGACATGGAATCAACCCAAATGCTCATCAATGGTTGACTGGAAAAAGAAAATGTGGTATATATACACCATGAAACACCACGAAGCCATGAAAATAAAGTCAGATCATGTCTCTTTCAGACACGTAGATGTTCTCCCTTATGAGTGGAAGCTGAATGAGACCATGTGGACACAGGGAAGAGAACAACACACACTGGCACTTGTTGGGGGAGGGCAGTGGTAGGGAGAGCATCGGGAAAAATGGCTAATGCATGCTGAGTTTAATACCTAGGGGATGGGATGACAGATGCAGCAAACCACCATGGTACACATTTACCCGTGTAAGAAAACTGCCTGTCCTGCACATGTACCCCAGAACTATAAAGAAAATAAACACGCAAATAAAATTTTAAAAAATTATCTTAATTGTATGTGGGTAGGTCCCTTTGATTGAAAGTGAAATGGAAACAATTAAAAAAAAAAAAAACCTTACTATTCAAAATTTAGAAAACTAAATAAGAGTAAAACAAATTTACATTTTGTCCCTGGATTGATGTAAGACAAAAACATTGTGTGGGAAAGCTGGAGTTGAGGACGAATGAGATTCTGAGAATAAAAATCCCTGGTACATAGTCAAAGATTCAGAGTCAACTTCAGATTTTCAAGGATTATAAAATAGATAACCTCATACCACCGTCTCCAACAGATAAAAGGAACCAGATAATATCTGTGTTCCAGGGAGAAAGAACAGAAAATTGGCTGAGTTCTGTCACTGACAAAACTTAGCGGGAAGGAGGAATCTGGAAGGTGGGAGGGTGGAGGGATCCCGGGCTTGTGCTTCAGCCTCCCCCTCTCGCTGCCCCTCCCCCATCAGGGGCCCTTTGTGATGTGAAGGCCCCAGCTCTGTGATGCAGGCCTGGGTCCCAGTCCCTAGTCTGCAAGGGAATGCCCAGAGCTCAGTTGCTTGAAGGCAGCATACCTATTCAGATGGCGAATATTCCGTTTCCTCTAAAATTTCTTAGTGATTTCTGGATAAACACCCCCAGCTTTACACCATGGGTGTTGGATATCTTCCTAACCCTGGTATTTGTCGTGGAGTTGTATTTCCTATTAGTCCCCTGCCTCTCTTACTTCCATCGTGATCCACCCTCACCATTGCCTCGGGAGAAGAGAATGGTAAGGAGCCCTCAGGCCAGACACACACAGCACAATTCTCTCCTTTCTTTCTATTATTAGCTCTACTTTTCCAAATCCAGTGGAGACACTTCCGCAATGGGAAGTGTCAGGAGAGACCAGAACATGGTCCTTCCAGGGAGAGGCAGAGCAGCCAGGGGTTGGACGGGACTGGGATTTCCATCCCAAGCTCTAAGTCCATCTGTGGGGGGAGCACAGGAGGCGTCAGGGCCAAACTAAACACCAGGACTCACTGGTGAGGACCAGTCAGGACATGGGGAAGGTCTCTGTGTGTGTGTGGGGGGGGCGCTCATAAGCCCCTTCCTGGGGCAGGTGGCTGGGGGCCCAGCCTTGTCTGTCTGGGGTGATCTGGGGGCTGTGCTGAGCCTCCGAAAGCCGCACACCTGGGTCTGGAGTCTCCTCTGATCTCCTGAGAAGCAGAATCCTACCTGACAGCTCAGGTGTGCCAGCGGGCCTGAGCCTAGGTGTTCGTCGAGTAGAGGAGCACCTCTACCATTACTTACATTATATTATATATTATACATTATGTATATTATAGTTTACATATGAAATATATATAATACATGTATTTCCTCATATAGTAAACCCCTCCTTGTGGTGGGTTTTATTGTTTGTTTTTTGAGACGGAGTCTCACTCTTGTCACCCTGGCTGGAATGCAATGGCGATCTTGACTCACTGCAGCCTCTGCTTCCCAGGTTCCAGCAGTTCTCTTGCCTCAGCCTCCGGAGTAGCTGAGATCACAGGCACGTGCCACCATGCCCGGCTAATTTTTGTTATTTTTAGTAGACAGTTTCACTATGCTGGCGAGGCTGTTCTCAAACTTCTGATCTCAGGTGATCCACCCTTCTTGGCTTCCCCAAACGCTCAGATTACAGGCGTGAGCCACCGCGTCTGGCCCCCTCTTCGTGTTTTTCTAAGAGAAGCAGTTTATCATCCACTTAAACAGGAGTGGGAGGAAGCACACCGCTCCCTGAGCAAGATGAGAGAGCTGAGCGGTTCGTGAGCGCCGTGGCTGGACTGGGGGCGGAGAGAGAGAGAGCTGCTCTCAGCCCCTCGCCCTTTCTTGTCTCCCAGGGTCACCTTCTCTCCCAGGGTCATCTTCTGTCCCAGTGTCAATGTCAGTGGAGGGGGAGGCCCCAAGGCAGGAAGAAAGACTACAGTCTGAAAGGTAAGGCTCTGCCGGGGTACACTAGAGTTCATTTGATCTCGTCTGTCCCCAGAGAGAAGCGACTCTGTCTGACGAAGTCAATTGAAGAAGCCTGAGGTGGGGGCTCCTAGGAAGGAAATCAGAACCCTGGGTCCCTCTCAGATTCCGTGCTGGCATGAAACCATGGTGGGCCAAGAACTGGGTGTTCCCCAGCAGGGCACAGTGTAGGGGGAGGAGACCAATGCCTGCCTGAATCAGGACGGGGGATGAGGGGGCTGTGGACAGCTGTTCAACTCTGCTAAGGCTGATTCCTCTTTGAGAGCACCCCAGTCCTTTCTCCCCACAGGGCAGCTGTGAGAACTATGGGGATGGGAAGGTCTGTGTGTGGAAGCCCTTTGTAAACAACAAAGCCTTGCCCTCCATGCCTCGCTATCACCGTCCAGGCCATGTGGCCTTGGACACAGACACGTGGTTTCTGGGGTCTGACTCCCCATGGCCTTCCCTCAAGAAACATCCACTCGGCCTCCTGTGAGATCCCAGGCCCCTCCCTCACTGCCCTAACCCGGTCTCCTAATTTCCAGATTGTACAGACCTCCTGACAGGCCTGGAGGGGATTCTGAACTTGCTTCTACAACTAGAGCGGTGAGGCACTTCCCCTTCCCTGCATCCTTCTTACCGGGCTGGGATTTGACCCCAGCGCCTTACGGCAGCCTGGAGCTAACCTGGGATGGGGAGACCAGGGGGACAAAGAATGGGAGTAAAACCCTGAAGCAAGGGGTAGAAGAAGAATTGGGGAGTCTGGGTGCAGCGCGGTGGAGGGGCATAGGAGGAGAACTGGGGAGTCTGGGTGTGGGGCGGTGGAAGCACACAGGAGGAGAATTGGGCAGTCAGCATGTGGGGTGGTGGAGGGGCATAGGAGGAGAATTGGGCAGTCAGCATGTGGGGTGGTGGAGGGGCATAGGAAGAGAATTGGGCAGTCAGCATGTGGGTGGTGGGGGGCATAGGAGGAGAATTAGGCAGTCAGCATGGGGGGTGGTGGAGGGGCATAGGAGGAGAATTGGGCAGTCAGCATGTGCGGTGGTGGGGAGGCATAAGAGGAGAATTGGGCAGTCAGCATGTGGGGCGGTGGGGGGGCATAAGAGGAGAATTGGGCAGTCAGCATGTGGGGTGGTGGGGGGGCATAAGAGGAGAATTGGGCAGTCACCATGTGGGGTGGTGGGGAGCATAAGAGGAGAATTGGGCAGTCACCATGTGGGGTGGTGGAGGGGCAGAGGAGGAGAATTGGGCCGTCAGCAGGTGGGGTGGTGGAGGGGCATAGGAAGAGAATTGGGCAGTCAGCATGTGGGGTGGGGGGGCATAGGAGGAGAATTGGGCAGTCACCATGTGGGGTGGTGGAGGAGCACAGGAGAAGAATTGGGGAGTCAGCATGTGGGGTGGTGGAAGGGCATAGGAGGAGAATTGGGCGGTCAGCATGTGGGGTGGTGGAGGTGCATAGGAGGAGAACTGGGGAGTCAGGGTGTGGGGCGGTGGAGGGGCATAGGAGAATTTGGTGGTCTAGGTGTGGGGCGGTGGAGGGGCATAGGAGAATTTGGGGGTCTGGGTGTGGGGCGGTGGAGGGGCACAGGAGGAGAATTGGAGAGTCAGTGTGTGGGGCAGTGGAGGGGCATAAGAGAATTGGGGGGTCTGGGTGTGGGGCGGTGGAGGGGCCGGGGCCCACGCGCCCACTCTGCCCTATGGCCCTACCTGCTCCTGGCTGCAGCTTGTGCCTCCTGCCTCCTGCAGCATCCTGGGGCCGCATCCTGAGAAAGGCGACTTTGGTCAGCTCTCTGGTCCAGATCCCCCAGGTGAGGAGTGCAAAAGAACGCCTGATGGAACCTCCCAGTCCCCTCAGGAGCCGATGCGAGATGCCACTCCCGTGCTTTCCTCATTAGCTTCCCCGGATCCTCAAATCCAGCATCCTTCGCCTCTGGTCTCCACCCCATCACCAGGCCCAACGGCCACCTCAGTCTCCCCTCTTAGTGCCTCCCAACCACCAGAGCCTTCCCTTCCCCTGGAACACCCCTCACCTGAGCCACCTGCGCTTTTCCCTAACCCACCACACACCCCTGATCCTCTGGCCTGCTCTCCGCCTCCTCCGAAAGGCTTCATTGCTCCTCCCCTGCGGGACTCCACTCCGACGACTCCATCTCACTGTGACTCAGTGGCACTTCCACTGGGCACCATCCATCAGAGCTCATCTCCGTGTGAGGATTTGGTGACTTCTGGCCCAGCCATCTCAGGCCGTGGCGGCTCAAGCAGTCATGCCTCTGTGTCTGCATCCTGGTGTCAGGAAACTACCAGAACCTGGCGTGTCTCCAACCCATCGGTCCAGCAAGATCATCTTTCCGGCCACCCACCAGAAACATCGTCCTCGGGAGACCCCACAAACAGTCAGATGGAAGCTGAAAGCCCCTTTTTCCACAGCTCTGATGGCCAGAATGTCGTGGGAATACAAGTCACAGAAAGAGCCAGGATCAACATTCGGGAGGAAAAAGAAAAAGATGGATCATTTCCAAAACAAACGAACACAGAAAAGCACTTGAATTCTTTGGGGAATTTGGTGAAATCATTGAATGCTGAGCAGGACACCACAACCCTAAAACCCGTCTGGGACACGGAAGACTTGAAACAATCGTCCAGTCCTCAGAAGCTCTCGGATCCTGGAATCCTGAAGGAACATTTTCAGAAGAATTATAGCCAGCTTTTCTGGGGCCTCCCCTCTCGGCACAGCGAATCCTTGGAGGCTAATGCCTGGGTGTCTGAGAGACCTTATACTTTACAGTCTCCTCCTTTCTTGTTCAATGGCATTCCCGATGTCCGCCCAGTTCAAACAGAGACTACAATGTCTCCACTGCTTTACCAGGCCCAGCGCCCGTCCCATCTGAGGCCTGAGTCCCCACCCTTTATTTCGCCCACACCCCAATTCCGGCTCTCACACGTGGCTCAGGCGGAGGTTCAGGCCCGTCTTCCATCCTCTTTCCCAGTCCAAGCTCCTGCTCTTGCATCCCCGATTAATAATTCTGGAGTAGCTTGCCCTGCGTCGCAGAATAAGACGCAAGCTCTCACCCTACCTGATATGCAGCGCCCTGGATGGTCTTCTAAACAACCAGAAGGTGGGTTGGCTTTACCCTCTAGGGCCCAAAAACCTCAGGATGTCTTTAGCGCCTCCACTCCTAACCTTCCCCAGGACAGCTTGACAGCAATCATTCCTGAGAACTTTCCAGTCAGTCCTGAACTCCGGAGCAACCTGGGAACGACCCAAGAGTCTCCGGATCTGATGCAGCCTCAGGAGAAACTGCCAGGGACAAGTCAGGCCAGGGGCAAACTCAGACCCTTGCAGTTCTCCGAGTCCTCGGGCGAAAGCAGCAAGGACATACAGAAGGTGACGTTCCCGCTAGAGAGTAATCCGTGTACACCTCTGGGACAAATTCGGGGGCAGACCACACAAAATCTAGCCAGGTGCATAGAAAGCTTCCCAGGGAAGGTTCTGGGGGCAGAACCTCAAGTCTCTGAGGAATCGGAAAGAGACTTGAAAATGCCCTTGAGGAGAGACTCGGAAAGTGATTTATTAAGACGAACAGAGACAAATCGTTTGGAAAACATCCTGAAAGCCCACGTGGGCATGAAGTTGAGCCAGATCAGTGAGGGCTTTATCCCCATTCGTGTGCGTCGATCCTGGCTTGCTGTCAACCAGGCTTTTCCCGTGTCCAACACCCACATGAAGACCAGCAATCTAACACCCCCGAAAAGTGAAAGAGCCAGTGTGAACACATCCCAGGAGCTTTCCTTCCTCGATCCGTGCACTCGACAGGTGCTGGGACACCATATTGTGAGGCTGTGGGCCAAACACAACTGGAGCCTAGCCCTCAGGGTCCTCAAGCCCATTAAGCTCTTTAAACTGGAAAAGGTTTCATCCTTATCCCTAACACAGCTTGCCGGTCCCTCCTCAGCCACCTATGAATCTCAGCCTAGCTCAAAAGTTGAGAAGGTCACATTCCTAAGAGGATCACCACCGGCAGGTCTGAGAAAGCAGGTGCTGACCACAGCATCTGTTCAGACGCCAGACAGTCTTCTGGTGTCTTCACCCACATTTACGAAGTTCCAGACGGCCCCACAAGGGATCCCGTCTTGGAATGCCCATGGGCCCTTGAAGCCTCCTCCAGCTGGACAGGAGGACAGGTGGCCTTCTAAGCCCCTCACATGCAGCCTCACAGGCAGCGCCCAGCAGAGCAGGAGCTTAGGAGCCCAGTCTTCAAGGGCTGGAGAGACCATGGAGGCAGCGCCACAACCCAGAGATCCCTTGGAAACCTTTATGCTGGCAAACCTCCAAGCCACACGTCAGGATGTAAGTGGTTCAGAGGCTCCACGGACCAGTAAAGGCTCTCAACTCCCTAACTCAGAGACCCAGCCTCAAGTTTGTGGCGCCGCTGTGCTCCCTCCAGATGGCTTTACTGACATTCCCCTTGCTACAGAGAGTTTGGCTTCTCAAGTGCCCCACGGCCGTCTCCAGAGCATGCCTACCGGGAACATGCAGGCTTGCCGGGAGCTACATGACCTTATGGCAGCCAGAAGGAGCAACCTGGGGTACAAGGAGCCCAAGAACCCGAAATGTCAAGGCTCATGCAAGAGCCAGAGCCGGATGTTTACCCCGACTCACAACAGTGAGAACCCAACGAAGCCCAACTTAGAAAAACGTGAAGAAAGGCTTGAAGAACTGAGGACTCCCCAACTCACCCCAGTCAGGAAAACAGAAAAAACCCGTCAGGATGAAGGCCTCCGGCTGCTGCCGTCAAAGAAACAGCCTCCTGCAATAAGCGACTTCGGAGAAAACATCAAACAATTCTTTCAGCAGGTCTTTTCAGTGAAAAAAAGCAAGCCAGTTCCAGTCACTGCCAAGAGCCAGAAAATAGTGAAAAACAGATCACATGTGTACAGCCGCTGTGCTGAAGCCGAGGGGCTCACGGCAGCAGCTGGACACATGCCGGAGAAAAAAGTGACACTTTGCCGTGAGCATCGTGCCTCTCACGTAAATCAGCACAAACTGGAGTTCCAAGCCCCAGTCTGTGGGTTTCCCTGCAACCGCAGGCACCTCTTCCTGGTGGAGGTGGTGGTCTATGCGGCCAGCAGTCAACAAGCCACTCTCAAGAGCCAGAGTTACCTCAACAGAGAGAAGCATATCCGAGATCAACAGTCCTTGAAAAGTGTCCGGCGCAACAATGACCAACGGGGCCAGGACAGCCCCAACTCTTGCTCCCCCAAGAAGGCTGTCTCACAGAAGGTCAAGTAGTCTTCTGTGAAAACACAGAACTTTTAATATTCCAAAAGAAATAAATATCTCCTTTTTTCCCCCCCATACAAGGATAATGGCTTTCATTTGTGTCGTGCTTGGTGTGGGCTTGTTTTCTAGAAGTGACAGGACATGGAGGGATTCTGAGAGTGGTGTTGTAAGCCCACCTTCATCCTGAGTTCCTTCACTGAAACTTAGGTTTCCACAATACTGTCTTTACACAGACCACAAAAAATTCTAAAAACGAGATGAGAACACCTACGAAGATCCCACTCAGAGATATGGTTCAACCCGTCTTTCTACTACTTACTCTCTACCTCAAACTTTATGCAGCTGTAGGAAGAAGGTTTGCAGAGATGTCATAGGACTGAATATCTCCATGCAGGCTCCAGGAACTGCCAACGGTCAAGTAGCTTCATGTGTCACAAAATAGTGGAAGCTCGGGTGGGAGAGTGTGGGCCCTGAGTTCAGAAGCCAGGGAAGTCTTGACCCTGGATATCCTCGGGGAGAGTAGATAATGCCTGCCCTTGGGAAGCCCCTTCTCTCCCTCACAAAGGCTGGGACGGAGATGGGCCCTCTTAGCTCAGCCTACATACAAAGCACAAAGTCCCCATCCCACTGCCTCTCCCTTTCTTGCACTCTGGAGTGGGGGTGGGGACAGACCGTCCAGCACTGTGGATGTAAACGTGGGGGGTGGGGGGAGGCCTTCACAAAGGCTGCTGAGGACCGTGAGCTCCCCTGCCCGAAATGAGTGAATGACCCTGCTCCTGGGTCACCTGCCTTTGTCTATCTCATCTATGTGTGTCTCAGCTTCAGAGAAGTAGTTCTGGGTGAATGGGGCAGGCCATGCCTGTGTGTGCAGAGGCTTCCGATGGTGGGACTCTGTAGAACTACAGCGGGAGCGGGATGCAGACAAAGAATTGAAAAGGAGGCAAAGTGGTGTGAGGCCTCCATAGGCGGTGCCATGACCTGGGAGCCTCTGACATTCCAACCCCTTCCACAGGCATAGAGGGGCCTATGGCTCATCCCGGCCCCACCCCAGGGTCTGTCCCTGTTCCAGCTCCCAGACCACAGACCTAAAAATGCATTTACCCCCAACACAGAGGGCCAGACCAGTGAGAAGGCAAAGTGAATAAGGGAAGATGAATTTCTTAACATCTTTAATAAGCTTGCACATAGTAACCTACTGATTTTTTTTTTTTTTTTTTTTTTTTTTTTTTTGAGACAGAGACGGAGTTTCACTCTTTTGCCCCGGCTGGAGTACGGTGGTATAATCTTGGTTCACTGCAACCTCCAGCCCCCTGGGTTCAAGCGATTCTCCTGCCTCAGTTTTCCAAGTGGCTGAGATTATAGGCACCCACCACCAGGCCTGGCTAATTTTTTACATTTTTAATAGAGATGGGGTTTTGCCATGTTGGCCAGGCTGGTGTCAAACTCCTGACCTCCGGTGATCTACCAGCCTTGGCCTCCCAAAGTGCTAGGATTACAGGCATGAGCCACCGCACCTGGCCTACCTATTGAATTTTTAAAAGGATGTGTTGACGATAGGTGAAAAAGCAAGGACTAGGGAACCCCAGGCATGACTCGGGAGTCTGGTGACCTTTAACATACAAGTAGCCCCAGGACGGCCCCCAGGGGAGAGGTGGTGACTTAGAAGGACCCCAGCAGCTGAGCTAGGGTCACACAGCAAATCTCCCCTGGCTCCTGAGGTCCTGTCTTGCCCCACAGACCAGCAGGGGAAGAAGCAGGCAGGCAGGCAGGATTTGAACACACAAGGCAGCTAGAAGTGACCTGTCCAGAACGGGCAGGGGGTGGGCAGGGCAGGAGCCGTCCCCACTCTGTCTCCCTCTGCTTTCAGCACAGCTTCCTCCTCTCTGGGCCCTTTCCCTATGGGAAAGCAGGAGCCCCCCACAAATCGGCGAGAGGAGTGTGAGGTCTCTAGAGGGAGTTTCCGTGCCTTGTGCACATACAGGCGCGCAGGAGGCCCAGTTCCGGGGGCCTCGTTTCCATGGTGGAGAGGACCGTGCCAGGCGGTACCACTGATTTAGATGAAAATGGAAATGGCCCTGCCCCCAGCATGTGGGACTGGTTGGCACTTGGGGTAGAGGGGGCAGTCAGCAACAGTCCCCAGCATGTGGCAGAGATCAGCTCCGGTCCCCCTGGGGAGCTCAGGAGAGAGAGTCACAGACCTGGGACCCTGACTGCTGAGGATGGGCCATGCCTGGCTGCTTGCTGCTGGGTTCCCTCAGGAAACCGATAGGCGAGTTCTGGGATATGGAGGAGCTGGACGTGTGGACCCCACGGCTCAGGCCAGGAGAGGCGCCACAGGAAACGCTGGCCGACCAACAAGAACATAGGAAGGCGCAAGCAAGCCCTTACCCCTCCGCTACTCAGTCTCCCATGGGGTGCAGCGAGGCCAGCAGTGGAGACCACAGAGACCTCCCACAGAAACCTCACAGAGACATCTCGTACAGAGAGCCCACCGGGACCACTCACTGCCACAGAGAGAGACACACTGTGGCCTCCAGAGACCCCACAGAGCTCTCAGAGATCTCATGGTGCCCCACAGAGCCACAGCACTGAGATTCCCAGAGTCCTCACACAGACCCCTTCAGAGAACCCCACAGAGACCACACTGACAGACTTCATTCAGTCCCGCAGAGACCTCCTGCAAATTTCAGAGACCTTCCTTGGTTCTCACACAGAGGCCTCACACCTGACAAAGGCCTCAGAGACTTTACACAGAATCATGAAACAGGGAACTCATGCAAAGACTCATGCAGCTCACCTTGTGATCTGCCTGCCTCAGCCTCCCAAAGTGCTGGGATGACAGGCGTGAGTCACCTCACCCAGCCTCTCTTTTATTTTTAAGTTGGAGTCTTGCTCTTTCACTCAGGCTGGAATGCAGTGGCATGATCTCAGCTCACTGCCATCTCCAACTCCCAGGTTCAAGTCATTCTCCTGCCTCAGCCTCCCTAGTAGCTGGGATACAGGTATGCACCACCACGTGGGCCAAGCTAATTTTTGGTATTTTTAATAGAGATGGGTTTTTACCATGTGGGCCAGGCTGGTCTCAAACTCCTGATCTCAAGTGATTCACCCGCCATGGCCTCCCAAGGTGCTGGGATTATAGGCATGAACCACCGCACCCAGACTGGTCCTGTAATTCTCTCTGGGCACCCTGGCCCTGTGAGCTGGAGGAGGGCAGGCAGGGCCAGGCCCTGAGCAGCCCCTGACAGGTGTTGAGTGAATGAGTAGGGGTGGGGAGGGGAAGCTGGGGAAGGCACCCAGGATGTGTTCCTCCCACCGCCCAGCCTTGTCAGGCCTCCATGTCCTGCTGAGCTCTTGCATGGTGGTCCTTTCCCACTTACAGCTCACTGCCTTAGACTAGGTCCAAGCCGATGGCCCGGCAGAAGTGTCCTCTCTGTTCTTACCCAGTATGACCTAGATGGGAGCCAATAAGCACATGGAATGAGCATAGCCCTGAGGGGTCAAAAATCTGTGAGGAAGAAAGGGAGGGAGGGAGGGAAGGAGGGAGGAAAGGAGGTACCAGAGGGAAGGAGGGAGGCCAGAAGGAAGGAAGGAAGGAAGGAAGGAAGGAAGGAAGGAAGGAAGGAAGGGAGGGAGGGAGAAAAGGGAGGGAGGGAGGGAGGGGGCAATGAATGAATGCACATACAAAGGAATGAGTGAATGAATGCCCAAACCAAGAAATGAGTGAATGAATGCACACACAAAGGAATGAATGAATACACACACCAAAGAATGAATGAATGAATGCACACAAATGAATTAATGCACACAAAGGAAAGAGCCAATGTATGAACATGCCACTTGTGGGGCGTGAAGAGGCCTCAAGAGACCCCCAGTTTAGGGGGCCCCACATTGTGCCCTCGCTGCTGAGGGACCTGGACATGCCAGTGCCTGGGAGAAGGGCTTGGGCTTGGAATGAATTGGGTCACAGGCGACTCATCAAGTGTCACAAGTAACCCTGAGCAGCAGGCTTCCCCTCCCGAGCCTTAGCCCCACCAGATGTAACATGGATTAGAAGAGCGACCTCATGGCGCTTTTCTGAAAATTCAGTAGGTGAAACTTGGTGTCTCATGCCTGTAATCCCAGCACTTTGGGAGGCCAAGGCGATTAGATCACTTGAGCCCAGGAGTTTGAGACTAGCCTGGGAAACAGTGAGACCCTGTTTTTGTTTAAAAAAAACAAAAATGAAAATTCAATGGGGTGCCGGGTGTGCCAGTTCTAGAGCTGTGCCATTTGTTTATTTGGTTCAACCCAAGCCACTTCAAACAACTGCGCCCCCCCGCCCCCAGCCAGTGGGCCAGGCCTCTCAGTGTCACTCTGGCTGAGGGTGTGTGTGTGTCTGTCCTTCCTTTAACTGTCCTCATTCTTTCCATCTCGTGTGTGTGTGTGTGTGTGTGTGTGTGTGTGTGGTCTTTACTCATACACACACACCTGTTGAATTTGCATGCTCTGACACACAGACACAAAGTCATACTTTCTTTTCAAAAATTTTTACTTTTAGAGGCACAGTCTTGCTCTGTCGCCCAGGCTGGAGTGCAATGGCACAATCACAGATCACTGCAGCCTTGAACTCCTAGGCTCAAGCGATCCTCCTGAGTCAGCCTCCTGAGTAGCTGGGACAACAGGCATGCATCCCCATGCCTGGCTAATTTTTTTTTTTTTTTGGTAGAGGTGGGGTCTTGGTATGTTGCCCAGGCTTGTACACTCCTGCTTCTGTATGTATGTATGCAGGTATGTATGTATCCTCTTTTTTGAAAATGATTTTATTGAATCTTTCTTTAAGCACGGACTTTTCTGAAGCTCTGGGGACACCTGGAAGAGGAAGGGAGGGTTCTGGATACCCGCTAGGACCACATTGGCCCTGGGTGCAGGACAAGCCCAGGCAAGAGAAACAGACCCTGCTGAGGGGTCTCCTCTTTGCCTCCTCCCTAGGTCCCAGCTAGGTGGTCTCCTCAGTTCACTGCCGGCCAGGGTCAGGCAGTGCATGGCCAAGCCAACCGCTATGTCATCATTCCAGGGGAAAGGGGCTTGAAGGCTGCGTCATGGGGTGATGGGAACCTGGATTTAGTTGGTGTGACCTGAGCTCAGGTTTCAGCATTTCCACATCCTGGCGGCGGGGCCTTCGGGTGGGAATTCCTCCTCTGCAAAATGAGAGCTTGTGAGAATTAAACTGGCCCCGGCATTTAGGAAACAGCCCTGTGATGTAGGTTCATGCTCTCATGACCCAATTACTTCCCAAATGCAAAAAATTAGCTAGGAGCAGTGGTGGGCACCTGTAATTCCAGCTACTCAGGAAGCAAAGACAGAAAATTGCTTGAATCCAGGAGGCAAAGGTTGCAGTGAGCTGAGATGGTGCTACTGCACGCCAGCCTAGGCAACAGAGCAAGGCTCTGTCTCACGAAAAAGAAAAAAAGGGGGGGAGAAAACAAAAGAAATGGAAGGAGATGAAAAGGAATATATGTAACATAGGCAAGGACTTCATGACTGAAACACCAAAATCGTTGGCAACAAAAGCCAAAATAGACAACTGGGACCTAATTAAACTCCAGAGCGTCTGTACAGCAAAAGAAACAATCAACAGAATGAACCAGCAACCAACGGAATGGGAAAAAATTTTGCAATCTACCTATC